AAACAAAATTAAAAAAAGAATTAGAAACAAGAAATTGAAATAGTGCTTGGAACGAAGTACTGACGGCTGATATTATTTCCTTCGTTATATTCATCAGTAAAGAATTTTTAAAAAAAATTGGAATAAAATTTATTTATTCCAATCAAAAAGGAATGAATTATTTTTCAAGTTAAAAGATTTAGTTTTGTGAACTCTATCAAAATTTTCTGATAAATTAGAGAGAAAGTAAATATTTTAATGACCCTTCAATGTGTAATATTGGTAGCCATCGAAACCAACGGCATATTCTCCGATTTTTCCCGTTCGTATTGCCTTTTCGATAGTTTTCCTCAGTTTCGGTTGACTTTTCCGTGATGCTATCTCGACCGTTACCAAAGTACCAATTACTTGTTGATACCTGCATCGTTTGACAGTATTTCCAATACATCATATTGAAGTTCACTTATTTATTTTATAGTTTACATAATGAAAACAATTACGTGATTATATTGTTGCTGAAATTTTGCTTGCAATTTTTGAATTTCATCACTTGAGAATAGCAAGCATTGATGAAAGTAATTGTAAACTTATCGAAACTAAATTTTTCGCAGTTATCCCTTTTTTGTTTATTTCCGCAGAATGAATTGGCGGAGAGATGAATTTCCTATAGCTAAATGATGACGTAAACGCGAAGAATTGCAAACTGCAGACTAATTGTGAACTATTGACACTCAGTATTCATATTGAACAGTTATTTAAACAAGGCCAAGTTTTTATTACAAATGGAAAAAATAATGGAATGCAAAAATTCAATTAAGATTTTGATGTATAAAAAATATAGGATTATTAAGTGATGTATAAAAAGACCTGTAACTAATGACAGAAATATTGCGTTGGCCAGGTAATGTTGCTAAAATAGCTCGAAGAGCATCTGAGATTTGTCGGCTGGTATGAATAAATTGCTTGGTATATGGATGGTTTAGCTCATTAGAATATGGCAAATCAGTAAAATTAATGACAAATCGATATACGGCAAGAAAAGTTGCAGCAGTAAATAATGGTGGTATTAATATCATTATTTGGAAGGATTGCAATAGACAAATTTCTATACAAATCCTTCGTAGAAACTAAATTTTGTCAGGAATTAAATTTTAATAATCTTAAAGATTCTGAAAAGGTTTCCGACTTCCTTCATCAAATGAAATAGTAAACGACGAAAAATTGTAATAAATTTGTTGGAATTTATTATCACTACGAGAATGCTTAACGATTATCAATTAAGCCGTAAAGTACCAACACGATAAGAGATATAAGCAAAAGAGGGAAAAGATCGCTGAATTATTCCTTAATCTTGGCGAAAATGCTTTTGTTATAAATTATAATGATAATAGTAGAAATAATGATAGTGATTATTGTAGTGAAATGAGTTGTGATAATATGATATTATGATATAATATGGTCATAAAGAACGATGCTATGATAATAACATAATGATTGTATCGTTCTACGATATTAATCGTAGTAACAGTGTGATGGGGCTTCTTTTAATATTTTACGATGCTCCACCCTTCGGGGAAGATTCATCCCTGCTTGCTTCTTACTCGACACCCGAGGAAGAGAAAGTACTGTCTATAAATTTACAGTACATATATGTATCACACTCCTCCATTAGATAGATATTTTTAAATTTACAAAATCAGAAAAAGAAAGGAGAGGAATTCATTCGTACTCCTATCTAAACGTATGCTTCGAACCTCTTCAGTTCGTTTTCTCATTCCATTTTTTTGCATATTTTTGTGTTTACTTAAGGGAATTAAATAGGAAGGAAGACTGAATAGAAAGAAGAGAAAATAATTCAGTTTGCAAAAAAGAAATGAATAAAAAAATGAAAATGATGGGAAAAAAGAGAAAAATTGATGGAAATTGTAAGGGAAAAATTCCCGAGATTACTTGAAAAAGAAACAAAAATATGAAGACATCAGGGAGGAGCGGGGAAGAGTTGAAAGAGAAAAAGCGGAGGATTGCTTATTTACTTGCTTATCTTTTCCATTCATTTCCCTCCACTACAAAACTATTTCATTCCAAAGTGAACAGATACCATTAATTGTCTAGACCTTAGTTTTTTTCTTCTTTTATTCGTATCGTATAAACTCTCATTCAGAATTCTCCCTCTTTCTCTCTCTCTCTTTCTTTCCTTCTATTTTTCTCTTTTCATGGGAGCAAAGGAAAATAAAAAAAATTAAAAGTTAGAAGGGACAAGTGTTACATTCAGTTCAACTCAACAAATGAAATTTAAAAAATGCTTGAAACTTATTACCTATGAGAAGAAACTATTTTATATATCTTCAATTTTTTCCAAAAAATTTAAATTATGAGTTAAAAAATAAAAATTTTCAAACATTTCGAAATTTGTCGTAATTTCGATGTTAAAAATGTAACTCATTGCAATATTTGAATAATACTAAATGATAAATGTCTTTTAAACCTATTTAAATGACCCTTAAGAGTTTGATACACTCCGTTGAATTAAAATTATTAGTTAACATTACTGACGTATTGTTAACTAATAATTTAAATACTGAATTAGTTAATTCATAATTATGATCGACTGACAGAATTAAATAATAAGCAGTAATAGTGGACAGAGATTGATTGATAATCATAATAGCTTGCAGGATTTAACTTTACAGCACAACTATAATGAAATCAAAAATTTGTAAAAATTACAACTTTGAAAATTTTAAATTACGAAAAGTTAGCACAAACCGAATGAAATGTTCGATCCATTGATGACTATTTCATTTGCATTCAATAAAATATCCGTTATATTGCTAGTGCTATTCTGATTTGATATATCATCCAAATGTACACCAATACAGAGTAATAAAAGTAGAAATTTATCGGAATTGAATGTAATTGCAGATTGCCAAGCATGCATCATGCATGCGTGTGATGAGCATGGAGTGTTGGATGATGGAGATACAATGTGATGGTATGTGTGGTGATAATTGGTCGAGGTGTACTTCCAAAGATGATTAACAAAATTCATTTACCCAATTCTTGGTTCGAGATATAAAGAAAGAGATGAAGGAAGGGAAAAAGGCGAACGAAAGATAAATAGTTAGATCGACTGATAATGAACAGAACTCACAAACAATATCATCATTGTATGACATCTCTCCAATGATTGTTGTACCGACATGTCACAATTACTATACTATATATTTGTGTGACATTGAGGATGTCGAATCTGTCATCCTCCTTATCATTAGTGCTTCGTCACTGATAATGTCATCGGTAACATTGTTGTCATTATCAATACAATTGCTATTATCATTATTATTACTGATGTTATCACTTGTACAATAACGTTTTTTGAGGGTCATTTCCTGCTAAGATATTGATTGATATTATCACTGCAAACTAATATAACTAATACCATCACGAATTGTTACAGCAAGCAAAATATTAAAAAGGAAAAATTTTCAACTTCTGTTTCATATTCCAATTGCATTCATCCCTTATTTGATTAATCAGCTTGAGTTTTTCTTATCAATATTATCACTTTCAGCTGCAGCATCATAAGCATTCTTGATTTCTTGCAATTCCGGCACTACTTCATTCTTCATAAAACTAATTAACGCGTTAACTTTCGCTTTTATGTTCGGGATAGCATCCTGAAATCTGATATCGTTTTATTATAGAAAATCAGGAATCAGCTTGTAGAATTATAGTTTTATAGCAATCAGTTTTTTCTTTTTTGTTTGTTTTAAAATTATAACGGAAATAACCCAAAATTTCACTAATAGAAACTATCGAATTTCTGATTCGTTTTATTTTTTTTAATTTCGAAAAACAAACAACCAAATCTGAGCATTTTTGTATATTAATTCTCTTACATGCGTGTTGTGACGCACCATAAAAAGTTTCATAAAATTTATTTTTTCTATTACAAATATGAATTTATATTTTCTGATTGGTTCATTCATTTCATAATCACTGTAATGCAATATGTACTTTACAGTTATTCTGGGAAATAAGTAACCTTATCAAATAGATTGAATTGAAATATAAGAAAAGGAAATTAATATGAAAAATTCACTTAATTGCCATTTTAATTAATTTTTTTAAGATTAAACAATAGAAAGAATGCCATCGCCTCATTCTGGTTAATAGATTTATTTTAACTTAATTTTTATTACGATTTCTGGAAATTTCACAGAATTTACAATTTTAAAAATATCGATGGAGCCAAGAATTTTCTTCGTACCACAATTTGAATCTCCTTAATTAATTAAATATTTGTGTGAAATTCGATAATAAGCACAAACTTCCTTGATCCAATGCTGAATATGTCGATGTGTTTCGGGATCTTTCAGTTTAGCTTTAGCTTCGTCAAATGTCTTACGTACCGTTGGAGCAGCCTTATCTTTGATATAGTCAGCACCGGAAACGATTTTCGTGTGTAAGCCATTTACCAAATCATCAAACCAATCCGCTTTCGTGAAGCAAAGAAAGGTAATGAACGTAATAAACGTGTAAGTAGTGAAACGTAACAATTGCATCACTGAAATAAATGATTATTATTTTGTACAAAAGTAACAATAATCATTACTTTGTATGAAAGCATCATTTAAGCATAAATAAATGGACAAAAAGCAATCATCGATTGATATTTATAAATTACATTTAACGCTTTGCTATAATGATTATTTGATTGATCATTGCATAAATTCCTTCAACATATATCGCACAGATAACGTTGTGTATAAGTTGAAGAACTGCTTAATCATTATTAAGAAGTGCACAGAAAGCAAGTGAGATGAATTTTAGTAATAGTTTCAAATTACTTGTTCAGAGGGGAAAGTTAGTTGGGGAGGAAGGCAGGGAGGATATTGATAAATAGTAATGAGTGATAAACAAATGACAATGATAACATTTTCCTCCTATTTGTCAATCATTAATGACTCGTCCTATCATAAAATATCGTCTCAAATATTACTAATAATTTTTGCTACTATTTCCTTTTTAATATCAAATAAATTTGCTCAATTTTAAGCTGAAATGAAATATTAAAAAATGCGCTCAATTTTTTAATTGCCTTTATTCCGATACAATATTTAATTCAAATTATGTTTATCTTCATTTCAATTTTTCTCATTTAACATCCGTTTATGATATTTAGCTGGATATTATGAAGTTGATTGCTTAAATAATTTAATTTATATTGTATGCAAACCAGCCATCAAATATCAAATTTAGTTTACAATGTTTTGCTTTTCATTTTTTAATGGAAAAGATCGTTTTGTTGATAACAGTACGTTTTTATTATTATTTATTTATATTTGATTCATTCAAGTTGTTTATTTGTTAATTATTAATATCCGAAAATTTTATTGCAAGAAATGAAGTTGATTACTGAATAATCCTTCGACGTTTATTACTGCTATTTTTCCATTCATTAATGTTTAAGAAGCAGAATTGATTGCCGTTTGTTTCAATCCATATTTAATTACTGTTATTTTCATCATTTATGAGCAAATTGTTGAATAATTTTATCCGATCATTACTGTTAAAGTTTATTAAGCTTTCATTAAGCTTCAATTATCATTTGTTTTACAAATGGGTGATTTTAATCTCTATAACTTTGTACCAGCAATTGTTGCAGAACATTTTATCAATCAATATCGAGCAACAAAAGAAAAATCATTGGAAACTCGAAATCTTCTCCTTACTATGCTACTCATTGCACTGTTAGTGAGAATACAATTGCTTTTAACAGCTATCATTTTCTCTTAGAATTGACAGTGCGTTCGCTTCCATCACTCCCTCCCCTTCTCCATCCAATATATACAAAAATATTTCGTTCTATAGATGAGGCCTCTGATAACAAAAACGGTACTGTTGAAATATGCAACTATGTTGTTTGGCATTATCGTTAAATATCATTCGTAATCGTCAACGATCTTCCTCCATCGGTTTTCCATCAATTTAAAAAATGAAGGAAAAAATATGAAAGGAAGGAAAGAAGAAAGAAAAGAAAAGATGGGTAAAGTTAGGTTTAGAAAAAAAGGAAAGTTTTTTGGGTGAATTTTGAGAGGGATGCATTTTCAAGATGAGAGAAAAAGCCTCTCTTTTATTCCATATATCTTCTCGAGAAAGAAAAAGACGGAAAAAGAGAGAAAGGAATGAAAGATGAATATT